CTCACTGAACGGCCATTACCCCTCCAACAGCCTCCTCACACAACGGCCATTTCCCCTCCTCCCCCAGCCTCCTCACACAACGGCCATTTCCCCTCCTCCCCCAGCCTCCTCACTAAACAGCCATTTCCCCTCCTCCCTCAGCCTCCTCACACAATGGCCATTCATTCAGCTTCCTCCCCTCAGCCTCCTCACTAACAGCCATTGCCACCCATCCCCACACAGCCCATACATTACCCCTTCCCACAGATGTGCCTGTACCCCCATCTTTTCTTGGACCTGCCATTACGCCCAGTGTGTCAGAGATCCCAACTGCCCAAACTAAGGCAGGGGAGATGTGTCATACGCCCTAGGCCAACCAGGGTGGACAGTGGGAGGTCCCGGCTTGGTTTAGGGCAACACTGTCAGCTTTGCACCCCAACCTGGACCTCGGTGAGGAGCTGCAGCTGTGGTGAGTGGGGTGCAGCCGGGGGGGGGGAGGGTTGGAGGGCAGATTGGGATGGGATATATGGCGCTTATCCATCATCCAACAGGTCTAGCTGCCTATAATATCACTAACCCCCCTGGCAGGGCTACTGACAGGCCATCAAAACTGGTGCACCCCTCTTCCCAGTCCCCCACCAAATCTTGTGCAGACCCTCCCCAACAAATCTGCGACAATCCCCTCCCCAGTCCTCTTCCCCCATTAAATCTTGTGAACCACCCTCCCTTGGTCAAATCTTAGGTTCCCCCTTTTCTAGCCCCTCCATCAATTTTTGTCCTCTCCCCCTTTTCAGCCCATCAAATATTGTGAACAACCCCATTGCAATCCACCTCCCACATAAAATTTTGTGCCGCCTCTTTCAAGCCCCCATCAAATTTTATTCAACTCCCCCTTTCCCCAAGCCCCAAATACTGGCATTCCTCTAAAGAGACAACCAGACATAAAAATGGCTTAGCCACCTCTCCCCTCATCACCCCCCCAGCCCCTCACCAGCCCCAGACGGTTAATATTCTGTTGTCTGCTTGTTTCCACCCCTCCCGCACCCCTCCCCCTTCCCTGCCACTGCCCCACCCCACCCCTGCAATTATGACGGACAGGTGACCATTTCCGTGGATGGCATCCTGACAACGACGGGCTACACACAGGAGGATTATACCATGCTGGGCTCAGATGACTTTTTCTACATTGGGGGCAGCCCCAACACAGCTGACCTGCCGGGGTCCCCAGTCAGCAATAACTTCATGGGGTGTCTCAAGGATGTGAGTATGCAATGACATGCAGCTGCCTCTGGGGCTGGGTGAAGTGTCTATGTCAGGGGTTGGCAACCTTTCAGAAGTGGTGTGTCGAGTCTTCATTTATTCAATCTGATTTAAGGTTTCCCGTGCCAGAAATAAATTTTAATGTTTTTAGAAGGTCTCTTTCTATAAGTCTATAATATATAACTAAACTATTGTTATATGTAAAGTAAATAAGGTTTTAAAATGTTGAAGAAGCTTCATTTAAAATTAAATTAAAATACAGAGCCCCCTGGACCGGTGGCCAGGACCCGGGCAGTGTGAGTGCCACTGAAAATCAGCTCGTGTGCTGCCTTTGGCACGCGTGCCATAGGTTGCCTACCCCTGGTCTATGTCTATGGGGATCCCTTGACCAGCGCTGTGATGCAGCCACCTATGGGGTGGGGTGCAAGGACTGTTTAACATCCCATAGCAACGCTGCCCAAAAGTTTAGGGTAGGAAATGCAGGAGTATCTCTCGTCAGCGGCAACTGAGGACCATACCCATATGATCCTTGTTTGGGGGCTGGCAGGGATGGAATTTGGTGTGTGATGTAGACAATAGGAACCAGAAGGAGACCCAGGAAACTCATTACACATAGCAGCCATCAGATAGGAACAGCTCTAGATCATTTTTTACTTGAAGCCAGATTGGAACTAGAGGGAAAAGACGTTGTATTCCACCCCACACCTCCCTGCAAGCTAGCCAATCTCCCTACCCCCTGAGCCAGCCAGCAGGTCCCTGCTGGGGGCCAGATCGAAGTTGGCACCCCCTAGAGGACAAAGGCCTCGTATCCCACTGCAGCTCTCCCCACCAGGTCGTGTACAAGAACAATGACTTCAAGCTGGAGCTGTCACGCCTGGCAAAGGAGGGCGACCCCAAGATGAAGATCAATGGGGACTTGGTGTTCCGCTGTGAGAATGTGGCAGCGTTGGACCCAGTCACCTTTGAGTCGCCCGAGGCCTACATCTCCCTGCCCAAGTGGAACACCAAGAAGACTGGCTCCATCTCCTTTGACTTCCGTACCACTGAGCCCAATGGGCTGCTGCTCTTCAGCCATGGGCGCCTGCAGCCCCCGCGTGAGGGCCGTGCTGAGCGTCCACACAAGGCTGACTACTTTGCCATGGAGCTGCTGGACGGCCACCTTTATCTGCTGCTGGACATGGGTTCTGGCGGCATCAAGATGCGGGCCAGCAACAAGAAGGTCAATGACGGCGAGTGGTGCCACGTGGACTTCCAGCGTGATGGGCGTAAAGGTGAGAGGGCTCCCCTGCCCTGCTTGCAACACCCCAGCCTATGGGGAACCCCATGCTCACCTCTGTCCCCTCATCCCCTGCCTATTGATGGAAACCCATGTCCACCTCTGCCTGCTCCCTGTGCCCTGGCTGCCTGGAACTCTGCCCACCCACAGGGAGTGCCATGCCACCTCTGCCCTCCAGACCGTGCCAGCAAGTCAACTGTCTACAGAGACCCCTTCTGCCCAGAACAGAGACCCCATGTGCTCACATCTACCCCCACCCATGAGGAGCTCCCAGCTGGGGTGTCTGGAGTTGTGCAGCAATGTGGCAGGGTCATGGTGCCACATGGTGGCTCTGCCGTGCATTGGGGGCTGTAGGGGCTGCAATTGGGCTTTGGATGAGGGCCAGCAGGTGAGGTGTCAGGAGTGTGGGGGGAACTGCTGAGTCACAGAGCTCAGTGGTGGCACTCAGGCTGAATTGTGCTTTGCACTTTGGGATCAGGGAGCAAATTTGATCCTAGTATAGTCCTTGCCCAAGGACCTGCCCAATAGAGAGCCCAGAGCTGTCTGCCCCCCCACACCTTTTTTTTCCCCTCTCACTGCTGATTGGCATAATGAATTGGCTGCTCATTAGCGGTTCATTAGAGAGGTGAGAAAATAGGCCCAGGAGTGGCAGGAAACAGAGACAGAAGCATCTCTTACAGCTCCCCATAAGTGGGGTGGAGGGAGAGATAGAGATAGATGCAGTGCTGCCCCCTACTGGTTGAAATATCTCAAAGCCTGTTTAAATCGATATAAGTTCTCATTTTGGCCATATGTATATGCACAGTACCTTACTGATAGGGACATGTCAGCACTGTCCCTATGTGCATATCAGCTCCCTCTGTGTATGTGTGCATTTATGTTCAACCTGTGGAACTCTTTGCCAGAGGATGTTGTGAAGGCCAAGACTATAACCGGCTTCAAAAAAGAACTAGCTAACTTCATGGAGGATGGGTTCATCAATAGCTATTAGCCAGGCTGGGCAGGGATGGTGTCCCAGCCCCTGTTTGCCAGAAGCTAGGAATGGGCCAGAAGGGATGCATCACTTGATGGATTACCTGTTCTGTTCATTCCCTCTTGGGCACCTGGCATTGGCCACTATCGGAAGACAGGATACTGGGCTAGATGGACCTTTGGTCTGACCCAGTATGGCTGTTCTTATGTTTATGCATGTGCATATATGTGTGAGAATCATGCATGTCTGAGTGAGCGTGTGTGAATTAGTGTGTCTGTGTGTGTGTGTGTGCATGAATGCATGGGGATGTGTAAATCATTGTGTGAGTGCATGTGTGTGAATCAGTGCATATGTATGGGTGCATGTATGTATTGTGACCTTGTTTTGACCCAAGTAGTAAGCCAAAAATTCAATCTTGAAGGTTGTTCTAGTTAGGAGGAGAAAGTGGTGATGGATGCAAACCTGTTTATTTACAAAGAATGGACAAAGTCCTGTTTCTCTGAACAAGGCAGGAATCAAACAGAGAGCTTCTTTGCTCATAGCTCCAATCTCCTTTGTAGCCAGCACTAGGCCCAAAAGCTCTCTCTCTCTCAACTTTTTCCAAGTGCTATGCTCCCAGTGCTTTTGTGACTGCATGTGGTGTTTCCTTGCTGCCTTTTCCTTTCCTTCCTCTGGTCTTTCTGCCTCTCTCTCACAAAGACACACACCTCTACAAAGCAACAGCCAGTGAAACCTCTCCATCCATATGTGCCTTTGTTTTGAGCAGTAACACCCTGTGTTTTGGTTGGAGGGCCCAATTGTTTCAGCTGCCTGGGTCACTAAAATATCTATAATGGCTTCTTACAACTATCTTAAATGAAGGGTGGTGTTTCCACTGAATAGTAACAGCAAGGTTTATCCAGAGCCTGAAAACACCCCTCATCTTATCTTCACCCATCACCTTGATGGAGTCCAAAATGGGGACATCCTGAGCAACCCATCCCAGATAGAAAGAAAAGTAACTATTTAGCAAATTACATATGATACAAGCTTAACTATTTACATATTTACAGTGTCTTTCTGTCTGGATATTTCATGTAACCAACCCCAAACAATTTTACTTCCAGCCAAATCTTCTTGGAGCTTTTCTTTCCCTGCCCCATTTCCTTTCATCCACAGCCAGGAGTTCCTTTTGAGTGGTGCAGTAATTTCACTCCAGAGAACTTAAACTTTCGCTGTAATAAGCAATCACACTCTCAAGTCCTTGATGTTCTTGTGTCAATACTGCCCCCAATCTGTAAGCACTAGTATTTGTGTCAATATGAAAGGTCTTTTGAATCACGGACAGTCCAAGATAGGCGCAGACGCAAGAGCCTGTTTGAACTCTGAAAATGCTCTGCTGACCACTGAAATGGTTTCCCTTTCTCTCCCAACCTATGCAGCATTTTTGCAATATTGGCAAACTCACAAATAAACCTTCTATAATAGGAGCAGAGTCTGACAAAACTTTGCACATCTGTGAGTGTCTGGGAAGTTTGCCAGTTCTGCACAGCCTCAATTTTCTGTTTGTCAGTGAAAATTCCCTCCTCCCTGATTGTGTGCCCAAGAGATATTACCTTTTTTTTTAAACAGCTCACATTTCTTTGAGTTCCGTTTCAGATTGGTATCCTTCAGCTTACCGCAGACCATTTGTAGATGTATCAGTTCCTGTTCAAAAATTTTAGCATGCACTAGGATATCATCTAGGTGTAACAGACAGGCTGAGAGAGACATGCTGTGTCACACCCTCTCCATTAGCCTCTCAAATGTGGTTGGTGCACTGCATAAGCTGACAGCCATCCCTTTTAATTGCCACCGGCCTTGTCCTGTGGTGAAATCTGTCTTTTCCCTGTCCTTTAGATCCTCTGACACTTGCCAATACCCACTTTTAAGATTCAGTGTGGAAAACCAGATTGAACCTGCCGCACCACCCAGAGTATCATCTGTTCATGGTAGTGGATAAGAATCCTTTAAAGTGACTTCATTTAGTTTTCTATAGTCCACACACAGTCAGGTGCTGTCATCTTTTTTTCTTAATCAGCACTGTGAGTGAACCCCAAGAAATGGTTAAAGGCTCAGTTATGTCTTCCACATTTCCTCAGTGGCCTGTAAGACCTCTCCCCTCTTTGTTACTGGTAGCAGTGAGATGGCTGTTTAGTGGGTCATTTCCCCCCCATTTCAATCTTGTGCTGGATTAGTGCAGTACAGTCTGTATCTTTGTTGGATGAGGAGAAAAACTCCTCTGATTCCTAGCCAGAAAGTCTCTCAGACTGTTCTGCTGCTTTTCATTTAAATGTATGGCACTGCACTGGAACAAGTCTAATAGAAACTCTGGGAGCTCACCTTCCCCCCACCCCCAGTAGTTTTCTTCTATACCAGCAATTACTAGATCCACTGGTTCTTTAAGTGATAGTCCCTATGGAATACAGATTGGGACCACACATCTCAAAGAACCTCTAGTTATAGGTAAGTAACCTCCTCTTCACGTTTTGCAACTGTGGTTCCCTTTGTTATTATTTACTGCTTGTCAGAAACATGTAGCAGAGGAACAGACCTCCATTCCTAATTCAGCTCCACAAGAGCTTTAGCAGCTAAGATTCCCCTGAGACCCTGGGTCTCAAAACAGGTTTTAGCTACTCCCCATCTTTCTTTGCTGGAAAGCTACCACAGCATGTAGCTGTTATAATGGTTTCTCCCCCTAGGGGCAGGATGACTCCTTCACTGCAAACTAATTGCCTACAAATCATCTGTCTCACCTGAGCCAAGTATTTAAAGGGAATTTCCACAGACTGACACTTTTCTTGGCATTTATTACACAGTTAATAGCCATAAAGAAATCCAAACTGATGATTAGCTCATCCACTATCTTGGCTATCCAGACTTTTTATTCAAATTCAAGAAGTCCAACTTTGAAACCTAATTTTCAGACAGATGCATGTTCAACCTCCCTCATCCTGCCATTTGGGACCAATGAGGCAGATCAGATTTAGATCTCCTATTCCTAGCCTTTTTAGCATGTCTGATCTAATAACTATTATGTTTGAGCCAGTGTCGGTCACCTCAATGCATTTCACAGCTCCTATTATACACTTAATAGCCAATTCCTATTGTTGTTTAACTCCCCAGATCTAAACAAAAACTGTGGGGCTGATCCTTGTACCCCCAGGTTTTGCCCCTCCAGCATGGTGTCTCCCCGTTTACCGAAGTGGGTGAGGAACTTTCACTAGGCACCTGTGATGCTTTGTCCTGGCCCGCTTTTTTTAACAGCCAGATTTTTCACAATGCAAACATTTAACTGAACTGCTTCCCTTAATTTTTATGTTATTGCCAATTTCCCTTGTTTTACAAAGTGAATTTATCACTTTTTCTGATCATTCCAAAACATCATGAGCCAGATAAGAAGCTCTTTTTCCATCATGTATATTAGACACAGCTGTACTTACAGGGCTCCTGGTGATCAGCTTCCATCTTCCTCACTAGGCGAGCAGTTGCTTCCTATTTTGGTGAGCTGCTGCAAGGAAAGATTCAAGTTCTGTTGTAAATTCCACAGTCTCTCGGACTGTCTTTGGCCTCTTTTCACTGATCTTGATCTGCAAGTCCAAGTTCAGCTGAGCATCTGTAAATTGATCTGTTCCCAATTTATCTTGGAAGTCCTTTTCAGTATCTAGATATGCCAGGAACATGAGTCTTTTCAGGTCCTTTGCCAATTGAGGTGTGGTATCCTCTTTCCCTCTCCAAGGCTCTGTCTCCACTAGTGAGCTTACAGTGGCACAGCTGTACCAATGCAGCTGCACTGGTGTAAGATGGCTCATGTAGCCGCTCTATGTCGGAAGGCGAGAGCTCTCCCATCGACATAATAAGACCACCTCAACAAGTGGTGGTATCTGTGTTGGTGGGAGAAGCTCTCCCACCGACATGGTGCTGGGCACACTACCACTACTACTGGCGAAACTTACGTCGCTCAGGGAGGTGTTTTTTTCATACCCTGGAGCAACATAAGTTTTGCTGACATAAGTGGTAATGTAGACATGGCCTAACTCTTGGCTGTGCCTTGGACGCATTGCATTTAAAAAACAAGGGACTGTTTTCTTAGCATCCCACCCCACCTCTCCTCCCAATATTATCATTAATTATTATTATTAACTAATTATTATTGTTAATAATTAATAAGTAGCAGTCATCTGCATTCGTGGGGGTATTTCTTGCTGCTTTTTGCAGCACTCAGCAACTCCCAATCTTATTGTACAGAGGTGAAAAAATAAGGGACGTCCCTTGTAATAAGGGACTGTTGGCAACCCTACTTGGACATCTCAGAATGATGGCTGGCTTCAGTGGTGGAATCTCCATAGATGTTTTTAAGGCCCGGCTTGACAAAGCCCTGGCTGGGATGATTTAATTGGGGTTGGTCCTGCTTTGAGCAGGGGGTTGGACTAGATGACTTTCTGAGGTCTCTTCCAAACCTAATCTTCTATGATTCAAGCCACATATCAAGGGATTGTATCAGATCTGGACAACTCAGTTTGTTTTCTGGGGCTAAGTTCTGTAGCACTATCAGAACTGGGCCACTCAGGCTGGCTACTAGAGCCCCCTCCCCCCCATTTTTGTCCATCTCAGTCATTTGTATGATGTTGAACTGAGCCAAATAAGCCGGGCATTAAGTTTTTCCATCAAAGATAGTGAGTGGGTATCATGGATCCACAGGTCTGGTGTTCTGAACAGCTCTGGAACTGTCCCTGGTAGGAACCCTTCAGTGTGCCAGACTCCCCCGTAGGGTCTCACTTTTTTACCAGGGTAAACCACTTGGCTTCACTGCTTCCTTCGACCAAATCTCAGAGCCTCACCACCCCTGCTTTATGCCGTGAGCTCCCTTCAGTGAGTCCACCTGAGTTGGACACCTCAGAGATACTTGTACACCCAAAGGGAGCAATGCACTCACACCTTCAGCATCCGCAGTGACTCTTAGCCAGCATTATTACACAGCATAGAAAGTCCTTGGTTAGCATAGAGAAAAGAAAGTTACAGCGTGCTCCATTTGGGTTAGCCCAGGGCCCCATCAAGTGGTGTGTCCCGTCCCCCCCTTGGCTCCCACTCTATCCCCCTTTGTCGAAGTTCCTGAGCCAGTCCCACCTGCCTCCTCTTCAGTCCGTTGTTGGCCAATTGGTCAAATGCATCTGGCTTCTTGCAGAGAGTTGGACCATCCATGGTTGTTAGTTGGTAGGTAGCAAATGTCCTGGGGTTGGCTTTGCTGTTGTCTTCATGGACTCTCTAATGACATGGGCCTCAAACTCAAGACAGCTAGACATCAGCCACATCTGTGTGGCAGCCTGCCTGAGAGTAAACAGCCCTTTTTTACCCCTAGGTGACAATGCAGCCTATAGGGGAAACTGAGGCACGCACAGTATTCATACAAAATATTTACAGAACATTCCCATTTCATCACTGTGGGGTTTTGCATTATTGAGCTGAGATAATCCAATCTCTTCTCTCTGATTCTCTGGGGGTTACAAACAAGGTAGAAAACCCTTGTAAATGTCTGGTCTTACCCAAGTCTTCTGACTGGCCCAGTTCCACATCCAGGCTTCTGATTTCCACTGTGGCCCATGCCCTTTTGATTTCCTTCTCAAGGTGATTTCTCAGCTCCCTAAGTCCTTGCTGCAGCTCATTCTGTTAGCAAATTCCAAGTTGGCTAAAGCTTCCCCGGCCTCACCTTTCTGGTCTGTGGCAGTCAAGTTGCTGGTCACCTCATTAATCCATCTGGCCATTCCAGTCTGGGAGTGTTGCAGCTGGGCTTCCCAGTCTGGCTGAGCGCTTTGTAACTGTTGCCTCAACAAAGATTTCCTCTTCGCCTACAAGTCGTCTTCCAGCCCTTTCTGGGAAACCTCCAGATGCTGCTTTAATTCTTTTTGTGATGCCTCCAGTACTTGTTTTAGATCTTGTTTTAAATCCTTTTGGCCACCTTAGAATTCTGTGAGTACCTCCATCATTTGTTCCATCTTGGTTCAAAAGAAAGACCAGCTCACAGTTTCTCTTCTTGGAAACTGGATCCTGCTCCTGATACCAGTGTTACCCCTTTTTGACCTGAGAAATTAACTAAAAATTCAGTACACACCTAGTTGTTCCAGTTAGTAGGAGAAATTGGTGGTGGAGTCAGGTATCTATGATGCAATCCTGTTTATTTGCAAGGAATGTACAAAGTCCTGTTTCTCTGAGAAGGGCAGGAATCCAACAACAGGAGACAGTTTCTTTGCTCGCAGCTCCAAGCCCCTTTCTAGCCAGCACTTGGCACAAAAGTTCTCTGTCTTGGCTTCTTCTCAGGTCCCATTTGCAGTACTTGCTGCCTTCTCTCCACTCCTCTGCTTTTTCTGCCTCCACACACACACCTCCACAAAGCAACAGCCAGTGAAACCCTTCCACCCACGTGTGCTTTGCATTTGTCTTTGTTTTGGGCAGTGACTCTGCCTGTGTTTGGGATGGAGACCACTCATTTCAGCTGCTTGTTCCTAAGGGTAGGTCTACACTACCCGGTAGTTCGTCGGCAAGCAAATTGAACTTCTGGGTTCGACTTATCGCGTCTTGTCTGGACGAGATAAGTCGAACCCGGAAGTGCTCACCGTCGACTGCGGTACTCCAGCTCGGCGAGAGGAGTACTGTGAAGTCGACGGGGGAGCCTGCCTGCCGCGTCTGGACCGAGGTAAGTTCGAACTAAGGTACTTCGAACTTCAGCTACGTTATTCACGTAGCTGAAGTTGTGTACCTTAGTTCGAATTGGGGGATTAGTGTAGACCAGGCCTTAGAGTTTAAAGCCAGAAGAGACCATTAGAGCAATCAGTCTGACCTCTTGATAGCTGCGGCTATTAAATTCCACTCAAATTACCCCTCTGTTGAGCCAAGTGACTTCAATTAAACCAAAACATTTCAGTCCTCAGGATACTAATCTGTTGTGAGCCTCAGAAGAGAACAGGAGAGACTGAGAGGACACCAATGCCTGAAGTCCCAGCAGTGGCAGGAAATTGACTAGATGAGAAGCTCAGGTGATCCCAGTAGGTGACCCATGACCCATGCTATAGAGGAGGGTGAACCCCCCCAAAGTCCCTGCATATCTGACCTCGGGGAAGTTCCTTTCTGACCCCACATCTGGTGATCAGTTAGTCTCTGAGCATGTCAGCAAGACCCACCAGCCAGGCAACTAAAACAGAGGATTGTCTGCACCACCTGATAGCACTGGCCCTCCCCAGGCGACTGTCTCCACCTCTGGCTGATGCTTCAGAGAAAGGTGAAAAAAAGCCACACATTACAAGGTATCAGGGAGAAAAAAAACTTTCTTGACCCTTTCAGGCAGCCAGCTGAAACATGAGATTAGGTGCTAGTCATTCTCATAGTACATACGTAAAATACATAATCCCTAACGCCTGCTGCCATAAAGGAGCTTAATGGCTTCTTACAACTACCTTAAATGAAGGGCAACAACTACACCCAACCCAGAACAACAAGGTTTAACATGACCCCTGTTAGTATTGTGTGCATGTGTGTGGGGATCTCTCTGTGCGCACCACCTTCCCCTCCCTCCTGGGCCTTGCTGGTGTGGTGCCTGCTACCCATGCAGCCCAGTAATGGCCTGTGGTGCCCGGCTCCCCACCACAGGCTCCATCTCAGTGAATAGCCGCAGCATACCGTTCCTGGCCAGTGGGGAGAGTGAGATCCTGGACCTGGACAGTGAGATGTACCTGGGGGGCCTTCCCGAGAATCGGCTGGACTTGATCCTACCCCCTGAGGTGTGGACTGCCTTCCTCAACTACGGCTATGTGGGCTGCGTGCGGGACCTGTTCATCGATGGCAAGAGCCGGGACGTGCGGCGCCTGGCCGAGGTGCAAAGCGTGCCCGGCGTCTCCAGCTTCTGCTCCCGGGAGACCCTCAAGCAGTGCAGCAGTGCACCCTGCCGCAATGGGGGGGTCTGCCGTGAGGGCTGGAACCGCTTCGTCTGTGACTGCCTTGGCACTGGCTACCTGGGCAGAGTGTGCGAGAGAGGTGAGGGGGTCATGGGGGCACTGGGTACCTGGGCACAGTGTGGGAGAGGTGAGGGGGCTATGGGGGGTACCGGGTATCTGGCCAGGGCATGGGAATGGTGAGGAGGCTATGGGGGCACTGGGTACCAGGGCAGGGTGTGGGAGAGGTTAGAGGGACATGGGGGGCACTGGGTACCTGGTCAGGGTGTGGGAGAGGTGAGGGGGCATGGAAGTGGTGAGGAAGGAATCCAGGAGGCTACCCTCCCCAACTGCAGGTGGGATTTCTGTGTTAGGGTCAGTCATGGGAAACGTGCCACCGCCTGGTTGCCTCTTAGTGAGACAGATGGGCCCTGGCATCAGGACAGAGTTGGTGAAAAGCTGATTCCTCAGCTCACTGGCAGCTCTGAAAAATCAGGGAAAGAAGTGAGTTTGGGTCAAAGGGAATTGGAACTTTCCTGAAATTTTCAACCAATCTAAAAGTCGACAATAAGTCTGTCTGGGGTGAACGCAATGGGCTGGTTGGGGACATCTTTAAAGGGCTGGACTCCTAAAACGGCTGAAGGAGGAGTATGAGGGGTGCCTCCATTATAACTTTTAGCCCCATGGTCAGCGCACTCACCTGGGATGAGAGAGCCCTGGGTTCCAGTCCCTGCTCCAACGAATGCACAATTTATACAAAGTGGCCCAGCTCCAACAGGCCAGACGGAGAGAGACCCACCCCAGAATAGCCTGTAGCTAGGTATTGGGGCACTCACCTGGAGTGGGAAGACCTACGGTTAGGTCGCTGCTCCAGAGGGGGTTCTCCCCCAGGTGAGTGCTCTAACCACTGGGGTAAAAGTCATCCCCTCTGCCTCCAGCTGCAGTTTTGTGAATGGGACCAAAGTCCCACTATGAGCCCAGCCCCTACATTTGTTTTCTCTGAAACTATTCAGTGAAATTTGCAAAGAGTTTGGGGTTGACCGAAGCTGCGTTTTGGGATTAATAAACTATTTGCCCAAAAACCTTTGCCCAGCTCTAATCAGGACTCCTGGGTTCCATGCCTAGCTGTGGGAGGGGAGTGATGTTTAGTGGTTAGAGCAGGGAGGCTGGGAGTCAGGACTCCTGGGTTCTGCGTGGGGGGCTGGAGGAGGTTGGGATTGGGAGGAGGGGCTCTCTGGGTATTGTGGTGTAAGGCAGAACCTAACACATGTTCTCTCTCTCTCTCTCTCTCCCCCATTTCTGTTCTTCTTTTTTACCATCTCTCTCCTACCCACATTGCCCCATCTCAACCCCCATTCCCTGTGCATCCCCACCCCTCATTACCCCCTACCCCTCAGAGGCCACAGTGCTGAGTTATGATGGCAGCATGTACATGAAGATCATGCTGCCGGGGGTGATGCACACGGAGGCCGAGGATGTGTCCCTGCGGTTCATGTCCCAGCGTGCCTATGGCTTCATGCTGGCCACCACCTCCAAGGAGTCAGCCGACACCCTGCGCCTCGAGCTTGACGGCGGGCAGATGAAGCTTACCGTCAACCTAGGTAACAGCCCCACCACCTGGGGATGCCCCAGTGCTGAGGGGGCTAACCAGCTCCCTGGGGGTCACCCCATCCCTCTTGGCAGCCGGTTCCAGGTGTCCCCTGGGAAGAGGTGACCCTAGGATGAACCTTTGCTGAGGGGTCAGCCCCTGCTTTGGAGCCCTCCTGCGCCCATCTGGTCTTTAGAAAGACTCCCCCTTTTCCAGGGGGATTCACCTTCGCACCCAGTTTGGTCTTGTTGGTGCCAGAGGGCGGCTCCCTGTCCAACATGGGACCCGCTTTCTCCACTGCGCCTGGCCAATGGGGCGAGAGGGGCCCTTCAACTCGCTGGCACCCTATTGGCTGGCAGGAGTTGGTGGGCCTGAGGGGGAAGAGCTCCCCATCTTTCTAAAGGCCTGGCAGGGTTTGGAGTGATTTCTAGCTCGCTGTTTTTAACCCTTCATCGGCGCAGACTCTGCCAGCCCAGCAAGCAGCAGCCGGGACCAAACCCTGCAACCCTTACCCCACTCTCTCATCCCCCCAATTCCCCCAAACTCTGCCCATCCACAACCCCCCAAACCCCACCTCAAACCTCACTACATCCCTAGCCTCCCAAACCTCTGCAGACCCACAGACCCCCACCCTATCTCCACAACCCCCCAAATCACATCCCCACATCCTCAGACCCCCACCCTTATCTCCATAACCCCCAAGCCCCACCCCCAAACCTCTGCAGACCCACAGACCCGCACCCCATCCCCACAACTCCCCAAACCCATCCCCAGACCCCCAAAACGCTGCTGACCCCCAGACCCTCGCCCCATCTCCACAACCCTCTTACTCCACCCCAAAATCCTGAAGTTCCACAGTGCCCCCAACCAAACCCACAGCTCTCCCACATCCCACCCACCTCAGCGCAACTCCCTGTGGATACACTGCACTCCCAAACCTCACACCTCCTTCCCCTTGCCACACCTACCCTCATCTTCCCATCCCCCATGAGATTACCTCCCTTTCCCCTATGGGGTTACCCTCTTTCCCTCCCTCCTTCATCCCTCTCCCCCCATGGAGTTACTTCCTTCCACTCATTTCCCACCCCCATGGGCTCCCCCGTTGGCTCTTTGGTCCCGTGCCTGTTTGCGCCCCACTGTTCTGTTGCGGTTGACAACGTGCGTCAGACCCAGCCGTGTAGCCTGTGGGAATGGGGCCCCCTTTCCTTTCTCCCCAGGGAACCCAGCACCTCCTGTCCACCGCAGAGATCAGGGAATGGCAAGAGCTCCCCGCAACCTTCTAGGTAACGGAGGGCAGATCTGGGGTAGCACACTTACCCCACCACTCCTTTAACCTCTCCCCTTCTGGCTATCTTGGGTTGTGGGGCACCTCTATAGTGGGACACTGATGCCCTCCATATGGACCCAAGGGATGCCCCTGTGCTGTACAGCACCCCCAGCTTCATATAATGCCTCTCCCCCAGATTTGCGGGCATTGTCGGCACTCCAGAATCTGTATATAACCCCCCCCCATCCATGGGGTCATGACTGACAGAATCTCTGCCCCCCCACCACCACATCACCTATTCATGAGGTGCAATCAACACGCTAGAATCTCCATGGTCCTCCCCATGCCCCTTTAATTTGTTCAGCCAGTTCCAGAGGAACTGTGAAATAGGGTCTCCCAGATAATGTGGAGGATGCCATAATGTGCCTGCCACCATAAGGAACAGTGTCCTGGGGGCCAGAGTGGGGGACTGGGGAACCCCAGAAAGGGGGGTAAGAGCCCACCCTGAGCTGCATTTGCTAAGTAACCCCCCAAATTCCAGCCACCCTCTATAGACCCCCCCCCAGCACCCTCATTCCCTCCAGCACCCCGTATTCTTCAGTGCTGTCCCCCCCTCACAGAATGCATTGGTGCTGGATCTAATGTTCCCTGATCTCTGCACGGTTCCAGGGCTGCCCAAGGAAGATAGAAGTGGTAGCAAGCGGGGGCAACCCAAGCTTGGCCCCCTAATCCATGCTGGGTGCAGGGGGACCCTGGTTGGGGGAGTAAAGGGGAGAGGAGGTGCCCCCCATACATCTGAGCATGAGGCTGCTCAGCAGGGGTTAACCCCCCCTTGTTTTCATCTTCCTTGTGGCACTGTTTGGGGTGCCAGGGTGGGGGAGGAAGAAGGGGGGGTCCATCCTCCACATTGCCCGCTGCACGGCTGGTGTTTGCAAGGTGGCCATTTGTCAGAGGGGTGGGGATTATCCCAACAAAGTGGGGGGAGGAGAATGAGTCCCACGAGCTGGGGGAAATTGACTGTGAACCCTGTTAAAGGTTATAAACCTTTCCTCTCCCCCAAAAAAGAGAAACCTCAGCCTAGACCATGCCTGTCACAGATCTGGCCAATCCACTTTCTAAACTGCTTCCAAGTTAATCCACTTTCTAAAGTGGTTCTGGGCTAATCCACTTTCCAAACCAATTACTACTAAACTGGTTTAAACATGTCAGCCCAGTCCTTGTAGATGGGATTCAGACTGAGCTGAGGAATTGGGTCCCAGCCCAGGTCCTGGCTCAGATTCCCAAGCCTAGCTGGCCCAACATCCTACCTTGAGGTGGGACTGTAAAGCTGCGTCCAAAACCAGTTTGACAAACCCAGTTAGAAACCTGGTAAACCAGGACCTTTCCGTGACCCTGTTTTTAGTCAGCTTTCTCATCCCATTCCTCATTGCCTCCCCAACAGTGCCAATCTGCTTCCTAAACCGGTTTAGGCCAGTTTCCTTTATAAACCAGCTCAGGCCAATTCCCTTTAACAAACTAATTCAGGCCTACAATCCCTTCAAGTGAGGACACAGTTATACCAGGATAAAGGTGCCACATGGGGAAATTTCCCAGCATAGCTACCGCAGAATGGTTATTAATTGTTAATTATTAACTCCCAGTATGGACACACTGTTCTGGAATGAAAGTGATTTTATTCTGGGATAATTACTCCGCTTGCCAAGCTCTGCCGGGGAATTTCCCCATGCGGAAAAAAATCTCTCATCAGAAAAGCTTATTCCCTGCCCCTACAGGAATAGCTATGCACTTTTATATTGGTACAACCATGTCCACATTAGGCAGCACTGTTCCGCTTTAGACTGGGGAAGCTAAAGCAAGACAACTTGTGTGTGTAGCCAAGGCTGGAGATTGGCAGCTCTTTAGGAGCAGGGACTTGCTTTTTGTTTGGTGTCTGTCCAGCACCTGGCACAATAGAGCCCTGCTGCATCATTAGAACGACTGTTTATGACTTGAATTGCAGAAGTGCCTGTGAGCCCCCATCTTGGTTGCACCAAGTGCTGTACAGACACAGTCCAGTTATCATACGCAACAAGAAATGATGCAGCCCCACTGCTGTCCAGGAAGGTAGTTTGGGGCTGTAGGTGGGATACTTTTAAGGGACCACTTCCTACCAAATTTGGGGTCCCCTTCCTCAGTGTGAGAGGTTTCCGTTCCCCTGGGCTCCAAATGGCCACCTTGACCCGCGTCTGTCCCCGGATGGTGGGCTGTGAATTGGATGGTTGTTTGCAGAAGTAACTTTGAAGGATGTAAAACTGTTGCGTTCTCTTCTCTCTCCCCCTATCCCCCATCACCCTGGCCCCCGTCTCAGACTGTGTCAGGATAGGCTGTAACCCCAGTAAGTCACTTCTTTACCTTCGGGGCTTTTATTTCATGTTCTCTCTCTCCTGCTCGTTAAATGAACCGGGTGAATTTTGGGGGTCAATCCTAATGGAAAGGTGACAGGTGCTGTATGACTGTAGCTGATTTGCTATGATGCTGCACAGAAGAGGTGGAGGGGCTGGGACTCCTGGGTTCTATTCCTGGCTCTGGAAGGGCAATGGTGTCTAGCAGTTAGCGTGTGTGGGCTGGGAGGTTTTCAACTCTGCGAAGGGAGCGCGTATAGGGGTTAGTGCAGAAGGGCTGAGTGAGAACTCCTGAGTTCTATCCTGGCTCAGGGAGAGAAGTGAGGGCTGGTGGTTAGAGCAGCAGACTGGGAGTCAGGGATCCTAGGTTCTATCCCCAGTGCTGCCCATTTTAGGGTGTCACCTTAAAATGAGTCACTTCACTGCTCCTTGCCTCAGTTTCCCCTTGCCTCAGACTAACTGCACCTGCCCTGTATGTGCATGTCCGAGCTTTATACCCCTACTGCATGTTTGATGCTTACAGAGCCTCATATAGGGTGATAGGGTTGGCTAGGAATTGCCCTGCACCCCATCCCCACCTGGACCTGGAACACCCCAAGAAGACAGGACCTGCTATTTCCCCCCCACCCCATGCCTTGGCCCCTCAGGCACTGTTGACACACTACCCTCCTCCCTGCAGCCTGTTTGCACCACTGCTCCTGCAGGCTGGATTCAGAAACACACTATGGGGTGTCATAAGCCCTCCTACTGCAAGCAACTGATGGGGAGTCTCTAGTTCATGGTTCTCGCCCTGTCCAGCATGGAGCTGCTCAGCAAATCTGGGGTAGGGGAAAATTAAACACACACACACACGTGTCCCCACAGGCGAGTGGCAAAGCCCTGGTGGTAAGTGACTGGCACCTTGCTTTGGGATGATAGGTGCAGGGCATCACAGCACCTTGGTCCTTTCTGTGCCCACAACACACACCACATGCACAAGCCTCACATGGTTACATAGACTCACCCAGCCACACCACAGTCTGCCCCAGACACACACAATCAGCTACACACACAGAAACACAAACTTTCACACTTATCACACATAAACAAAGAGATTCACACAACCACAATTGCACCAAACCACCACACCCCCATGCAGCAGGTCTCATTCACTCACGTAGATGGTAATGCACACACACTGAGGAGAGTAGGTCTTACTCCTTCCAGCAGGGGGCAGCATGCATGCACGCACACACACACCCAGCAGGGGGACACTGATATGCACACTGGCCATGGAACAGATCCAAATGCATGTTTGCATGCCAGTTGGGGGAACATTGTACCACACAAAGACTGTTGGGGTAGGCACCGATTACACATACATGTGTGCCAGCTAGGGTCTGTGTCACACCATTACATACATGCATGTGCTGGTGGTCAGAGGGGCACACCATTACATGTGTGCCAGCTGTGGTGCGTTTCACACCATTACATGAATGTTCCATCCAGGGGAGTACACCATTACATATACATGTGCATTGACTGAGGGGCACACAGTTACACGCATGTGTGCACTGGCTGGGAGGCACATGGTTACACCCGTGTGTATGCACTGGCTGGGGGGGCACACAGTTACACACATGTGTGCACTGGCTGGGAGGCACACAGTTACAGGTGTGTATGCACTGGCTGGGAAGCATATGGTTACACACATGTATGCGTTGGTTGGGGCACACGGTTACATGCACTAGCTGGAGGACACACAGTTACATGTGTGAGTGTGCTGGCTGGGGGCCACAGTTACACGGGTGAGTGTGCTGGCTGGGGGGCAGCCATGGTTACACTCACGTGTGCTCAGGGCTGCACTCGTGCCAGCAGTGACATGCAGCCCCCAAGTGTGATGCATCTCCTGACAGCGAGGAGCTCCACCCCTTGGACTCAGGTGCGTAGATGGGCCAATGGCATTTCATTGGCTAGAAAGGGGTGGGGCCCCATGGTGGGGATAAGCCCCAGCTCTTGTGCATGTGGGTTCCTAATGTGTTGGGAAGAGAACACCTAATCACAACTCACCCTTGTGCCAGGCAGGTGAAGAATTTACTATCAGCTCATGGAAGGGGAAGCTGAGACATAAGGAGGGGAAGTGACCAGTCCCCAAGATCACAGAGACAGCTGGGGAGAGAACCCAGGAGTCCAGGCTTCCAGTCCCAACACAGATTGCCATGTCTCCCATATAGTCCTTGATCTAAATTGCTGAGTTGCTACACCCCCCCCCCCCGGCCAGGTCTGGGAAATCCAGCCAGGATTCACTCTGACAAAGAGTCCCAGGTGTTTGGTGGGTGGGTTCCAGCTCCAAATGAGTCCTAGAATTGGGAGGAGAGCCAGGGGTGGGGGAGGACGATGGAGGTCCCTACACCATGGGGCAGAGACTTAGTGCAGAGAGGTGTGTGGGTGAAGGGAATATGCATGGGTGAGGGTTGGGAGTGGGTATGAGGAGGGGGAGTAGGGATGAGGGTATGTGGAAAGGTGGGGGGTGGGGAATGAGGTGGGATGGCTCTGGAGATGGGGTGGGGGGACACAGAGGTGAGGATTGCAATATGTAGAAAGGGGCTAGGGATTGGAGGGGCAGTGATTAGGGGTGGGGTGAAGGAGTGTATTTCTCACTGCCTCTCCAACCCCATCCCTAGATGTGAGGGGATCCCCATCCCCAGGTGCATTGTAGCCCCCAGGGCGGGGAAGGAAAGGTCTTGGGGGTGGGGAAATACAATTGGGCCTTCCTCCCCCAACTCAGGTGAGGAGGGGGCTCTTTTGCTTTGGGAACCTGTGGGAGGTCAGAATCCCTTGAACAGCCCCCCCATCATTCCCTGCCCTCCCCAGAGTCCCTTAATCCAACCAGCAAAAGGATGCCTCCATTGCTGGACGAGGAGCTGCAGAGTCTGGGTCTCCCCCCCACCCCGTGGTAGAACTCACCTAAACAAGCCTGATTTACCTGGGCTAATGGCACTTAGGGCAGCGTCAGCCTGCTAACGCAATAGCTGATGCACTGTGCCCAGCACCTGGGGAGTGTGTGGAGAAGAATATTTCCCATTGTCATCCACCTGCCCCCTCAGAAATGAATAATCTAGGCCCAACCACACTTCAGAGTATAAACAATAACAGACTAGCCATACTCGCTGTAAACCTGGGCTGATTAGCCTCCATGCAATGAACGTAGGTCCATCTGCAATACAAATACATAATAATTAGCCCATCTCCCTACCCAGCTGGGTATCAGGTATCAACCCCTGTGCAATTAATAACATGCAAAATAATAATTAATGAGCCACTTCCTTAAAGAACTTGGATTGTTAAACCATTTAATTAATATAGGTCCTACTCCAATACAGATAGCTGCTGATAATTTAGTCCCTCCTCTCCCTATGGATCAAGAGTGGTTAGAGTCCCTGCAATTAATAACGTAGGCCAGGATTGCATGACTGGTGGCTATGATGGGGCTGTATCCAGCCCACCAACCAGGAGACTGCTCCCTGGCCCCTGCTGGAGGAAGGAAAATGTGTCCCTGGGCAGGGGCACAAGCTCATCTGCCTTCCCACAGATTGTGGAGCTGAGCAATGGCAGGCAGGCGTGTGTGAGGTGACACCGTGCAGCGCGGGGCTGTCGCTGCAGGACTCACTGCTCTGGCGCATGTTCTCACAGCAGCAGGGACCACTTCTTCCTGGACCACACCAGCCAGCCAGAGGGGCTGGTGGGGCCTCTGCTATCTTAAGTTGCCCATCCCTGCATTAGGCCCAAAGTAGAAATACCATAATTAATTAGCCCCTCCCCTATGCACCTGGGGATTATTAGCCCTATGCAATTAATAATATGCAAAATACTAATGAACCATTCTCCCAGAGACTTGGGGTTGTTGGTGCCTTGAAATTAATGTTGGTCCTACTGCAATACAAATAATTAGCCCTTTCCTTCCCCGTATACCTGGGATCGACACCCCATGCAACTAATATGCCAATTGATTAATTATCCACTACCACATGCAATTATTATGAATACTAATTTAGGTCCTTCCTATATAGCTGTGTTTATTAGCCCCCATACAATTAATAATAATGAACCATTCCCTCACAGACCTGGGATGGTTAGAAAGCATGCAAATAATGTAGGCCCTACTACAATACAAATACGTCCCTCCTGTCACCACATCCACCTGGGTATATTAGACACCCATGCAGTCATTAATAGGCATGGTGATAACTATTAAATAGCTACATCCTCCCATGCAGTGACCTGGCATTAACCCTTCCATGCAATGAATTAGTTGCCTAATGGTAATGATTCATTAGCCACTTATGGGCTCTCAGCCCTGCCTCCACCCTGCTCTAAGCACACCTGGATGGGGAGGGGGTGATTCAGGAGAGGGGGGTCGCTTAGCAGCTGGCTGTTTATTGGGTCACCCCTACCAGCTAGCGGTGACTGAGAAGATGAGGTGCTAATGGGGGGAGGAATAGTGGGTTAGGATTGGCCATGGATATTACTTTTTTCCTAACCTGTGGTTTACGGGGTCACCAGTTCCCCATTTCTGACCTGGGGGGTTTCCTTGGAGATGCAGGGATGGATTTCAAGATGATCTGTGATTTCACTTGTTCTCTTGCTGATTCGCTTGCTCACCAGCAGGTGGTGATACACACACACACATTCTCCAGTAGCAAGCCTCATTGTTAGTCTTCGGTCCCTGTGTGTGAGAGACAAAGAGACTAGCAAGGTTGAGAGCTGAATAGAGCAGTGTAGGTGTGCTCTGGACTGTGTGTGCAATTGCACCTAGCAGTAGAGTGCAGTGGGGTGTAGGTGTGCTCAGGGCTGTGTGTATGCAATTATACCCAGTAGGGTGTGTGTGTAGGTGTGTTCAGGGCTGTGTGTGTGGCTATACCCAGCAGGGAGTTGTAGTGGCGTGTGGGTGTGTATGGTTACACCCAGCAGGGGGTTGTAGTGGGGTGTGCTCAGGGCTGTGGGTGTGTATGGTTACACCCAACGGGGTTGTAGTGGGGTGTGGGTGTGCTCAGGGCTGTGCATGCAGTTGGAAGCTGTAAGGTTTGGGCCTGAATTTCCTGGGGAGCTGTTTTTCCCCAGCCCTGAGCCAGAGTTTCCCCTGAGCAGCTGTCACAACCTCTCCAGGGTACTGGCACCATCCCAGTGTAGCAACTGCAGAACAGGAGTGCAGTGCGGTCAGGACTTGGGAGGAATGGAGGGAGTGATGAACTACCCCATCCCTCACCCATCCCCCTGTGCACTCTTTGCCCTCAGGGAGTGTATGGGCTCTAGGAGGGTGGGGTGTATATTGGGGGCCTGTATAATCCCGACCTGTTGCTAGCTGGGGCAGTCTGGCGGGGGGGCGGGGGGTGTCTGCGTGGGTTCAGTATGTATCTAGGAGGGAATGGGGGGGGGAGATGCTACCTAAGTTGCTGTGGGATGGGGGGGGGAACTGGGGGGGTGTTGCCAGCTGGGTGAGTATTGGGGGTTGTGTGTGTTCAGGATGTATCCAGACAGGCAGGGGAGGGGCTGGCACCTGGGGGCTGTCTAGGCCTTGTGCCCATTCCCCCGACCCCATTGGAGCACTAACCCCCTGTGCTGCCCCCTCCCCAATTCAGGTAAAGGCCCCGAGACCCTCTTCGCTGGCCACAAACTCAACGACAATGAGTGGCACACAGTGCGGGTTGTGCGGCGCGGGAAGAGCCTGCAGCTCTCGGTGGATAACGTCACCGTGGAAGGTACGTGAGGACCCCAGACTGGGATAGCAGGGGGCTGAGGGGCACTGGCAGGGCTGGGGTGGGGGAAGCCCAGGGCTGGGATAGCAGGGGGCTGAGGGGCAGTGGCAGGGCTGGGTCGGAGGGAGCCCAGGGCTGGGATAGCAGAGGGTTGAGGGGCACTGGCAGGGCTGGGGGGGGGGGCGGGGAGCCCAGGGCTGGGATAGCAGGGGGCTGCCAGTTGGGATGGAGGGTCACCGGCTGGGGTGAGGGCACAGGTCTGGAGTCTGCCCCCGTCCCACCCTGGTGTGTAACAGTGCCCTGTCCCCCTCCCGCTCCAAGCAGGGCAGATGGCCGGCGCGCACACCCGCCTGGAGTTCCACAACATCGAGACTGGCATCATGACGGAGCGCCGCTTCATCTCCGTGGTGCCCTCCAACTTCATCGGGCACCTGAGCAGCCTGGTGTTCAATGGGCTGCCCTACATGGACCTGTGCAAGAATGGCGACATCAGCTACTGCGAGCTCAATGCCCGCTTCGGCCTGCGCAGCATCATTGCCGACCCCGTCACCTTCAAGAGCCGCGCCAGCTACCTGGCGCTGGCCACGCTGCAGGCCTATGCCTCCATGCACCTCTTCTTCCAGTTCAAAACCACCGCCACCGACGGCCTCATCCTCTTCAACAGCGGCAACGGCAACGACTTCATCGTGGTGGAGCTGGTCAAGGGGTGAGACGCAGCCCCTGCCCCCTACCTCCCCACCCCAGTGGGCAATGGGCCTGCCCCGGCCTGGGCTCCTCGCCCTGCCTGCTAGGCAATGGGCCCTGCCCCAGGGAGCAGGCCTAGTGCCCAACCTCTGATCCACGTGCTATGCCCTCTGGGCCTGCTGCATCCTCAGGCACAATGCTCCTCTGCCCTGCCCACTAGGATCTTCTCTCCACCCCACTGCCCTGCCTCTCTCACTGCCCCTCACAGGGAGCTCTGCCCTCACTGACCCCAGCTCTGCCTCAAGTGCTGCCCACAGGGTGCTGGGCCTCACGCAGGGGCCTAGGTCTCCTGCCCATTGTCCTGCCCTCTGGGCACACGCTCCTCCCGCTGCTCTGCCAACCAGCCCATCTGCCCACCCCCTCACGCTCCACTGCCCCCTCCACACAGGTACATCCACTATGTCTTCGACCTGGGCAACGGGCCATCGCTGATGAAGGGGAACTCGGACAAGCCGGTTAATGACAATCAGTGGCACAATGTAATCGTGTCGCGTGACACCAGTAACGTCCACACGCTCAAGATCGACTCCCGCACTGTCACCCAGCACTCCAACGGTGCCCGCAACCTGGACCTCAAGGGTGAGCCACGCCAGCCAGCGCTGGGCCATGAGGGCACCGGGGGCACACTCCCCTCACAGACACTGCTGGCCCCAGCATGGAGCTAAGAGGGGCTGCACTGCAGGGGTCGGTATGGGGGGCTGGGCTGCACGTACAGGGGAGTCGGAATGAAGGGCTGTGCTGCGAGGGGTCGGTATGGAGGGGCTGCGCTGCAGGGTGCAGAGGGGTTGGAATGGGGGCTGTGCTCTGGGGGTGTTGGTGTGGGGGGACTGTTACAGGTTGCAGTGAGGGGTCAGTATGGGGGCAGGGCCGGTGCTTCCATTAGGCGATCCTAGGCGGTCGCCTAGGGCGGCAGGATTTGGGGGGCGGCATTTTGGTGCCCTCCGCGGAAATTCAGCGGCGGGGGGTCCTTCCGCTCTGGGTCTTCAGCGGAAATTCGGCGGCGGGTCCCGGAGCGAGTGAAGGACCCGCCGAATTTCTGCCAAAGACCCGGAGCGGAAGGACCCCCTGCCGCCGAATGCTCAGAGGAGGAGTGCTGCTGCCTAGGGCGGCAAAACCCTGGCGCTGCTCCTGTATGAGGGGGCTGCGTTTCAAGGAAGCAGGGGGGCAGTGTGGGGGGGCTGGGCAGCAGGGGTGTGGTGGTGGCGCGCTGGTGTGGGATGATTCCCCATGCAGCCAGAACTGACTGTGTCTCAGATTGGATTGTTTTGCTGAAGCTCCCCAGCAGTGTCCATTGAGTTTGGAATTCTGCTTCACTTCCTGACTTAAACTGCTGTGTGGATATGAAAAGCCCCGTGCCCCACCCCAGAGGTGGCTGCATCTCAGCACTGGCTTAGACTGAGCCATGCACTGGGGTCGGTATTCCTGCAAGCGAAAGGACCCAGAGGATCCTGTCCATTCCTTAACCCCTGTGTGCATGGATCACTCAATCGGCCGGGAGCAGGCCGGCGCTGGGGGGCTGTCACAGATCCACAGGCTCCAGGCTGCGCCCCCAGCTTTGTGGAGAAATCCCTTCGCTGCGCCAGACCCCAGGGCTCTCGCTCTTCCTCCAGGGTGGGCCACGCAGCCTCCCGTCTGCTGAGACTGACCCTATGTCTGTCTGTCCGCCTCGGTAGTTCTCAGGTAGGAGCTCCCAGCTTCCTCCAGCAGCCAGCGCTTCTCCCCCAGTGCCCCCTCCAGTCCTTTCTTTTCCAGCTGGGGTCTCGGCTCAGCTTCCCTGCTGGGAGGGTGGATCCCTGAATCACTGGGGCTGGCCTGGTCTCTCTGGCCCCTTGTTCTGGGTCGGTTACAGCTGGTTCCTGGAGGGCTCTATTCATTCCACCCAGACAGGGAGGTGACACTCGGCCATGTTCCCTAGGGCTTGTCCTCACTAGAAAATTAGGTTGGTTTATGTACATCGCTCAGGGGTGTGAAAAATCCACAACCCCTGAGCCCGTAGTTAAGCCAACCTAAGCCCTGGGCTACACTACAAAATCATCTCAGTATTACTATGTCACTCAGGGCAGTGGCGTAGCCAGCTTTTAAGAGGAGGGGGAGCAAAGATAAAAAAGGCGCCCTCCCTTGGCTCCTCCTCTGGCCACGCCCCCTTGGCTGCTCCTCCGGCTGCACCGACCCTCCCGCTCCATGGCTCCTCCAGCCCTGCCGTGCCACCCCCGTGGCCCCCCCCTCGCTCCTCTGGCCGCCATGCTGCGCCCCCCTGCCCCGCTCCTCCGGCTGCGCCCCACACTGAGTAACAGTGCAGCATATAGGGGAAACCAAGGCACACACAAGGCCATGTCTGCACTGCCACTCATGTCACTGAGGGGATATGAAAAAACCACCCCCCTGAACAGGGCCGGCTCCAGATACCAGCGAAGGAAGCAGGTGCTTGGGGTAGCCAATGGAAAGGGGCGGCACGTCCGGGTCTTCGAAAGCAATTCGGCAGCGGGTCCCTCAGTCCCTCTTGAAGCGAAGGACCCGCTGAATTGCCACCAAAGAATGAAGCGGCGCGGTAGAGCTGCTGCCGAAGTGCCGCCGATCGTGGCTTTATCTTTTTTTAGTTTTTAAATTTTTTTCGCTTCACCGCTTGGGGCGGCAAAAAAGCTGGAGCCAGCCCTGCCCCTGAGTGACGGACGTTTCGCCAGCATAAGTGGTAGTGTGCACAGCGCTGTGGCGGTAGGAGAAGATACTACCACTCATTGAGGTGGCTTAATTATGTCGATGGGAGAGCTCTCTCCCGTCGGCACAGAGTGGCTACCGGAGCGCTCTTACATCGGTACAGCTGTGCCGCTGTTAGACATGGCCTACGCGACTCACAAAAATAGTACCCAAAATTCCCGCTTTGTCATAGCCTGCACCCCAGTGAACCTCCAGCACTGCCCCCCATCCCAAAACCCACTCAGCACCACCCCATTGTGGTGCTGGGGTTCATGGGGTCAGGGCAGGGGTGAAAGTAACTTACAGGACTTACCGGTACAGGCAAGTCGCATCTTAGGCGCATTTAACATGCGCGAATTCAGCTTTGTGCGGTCGGCAAAAACAGGAAGAAAAAAAGAAAAACAACAATATAAAAACTGCATCTGTAGTGCAGGCGATTCTGCCCACCATTGAACTCAATGAGTGTTTTACTATACACGGTTTTCGCTTTACATGCTAACCGCGGAACAGAACCCCCGCATAAGATGAGACTTGCCTGTACTGCCGGAGTCTTGAGGGGTGTGTGGCCTCATCAGGAAGAGGCAGGGCCTCTCAAGATTTAAAGGCCCTGGGGCACCGGCTGTGGCTGGGAGCCCCAGGGCCTTTAAATCAACCCGGAGCTCCCAGCTGCAGAGGCGGCTGGGAGCCCCCGGGACTCAGGGGAAAATTAAAGGGCCCCGGGCTCCGGCCGCCGCGGAGCTCCGGGCCCTTTAAATCCCCACCGCAGTTCTGGCTGCCAGAGCTGTGGGCAGGATTTAAAGGGCCCGGAGCGCCTGCCGCTGCGGGGAGTCCTGAGCCCTTTAAATCCCCACCGTGGAAGCCGGTGCGGTCCAGCATGGCGTACTGGCTCTTGCTGGTACGCCGGACCGGACCGGACTGGACCGGCTTACTTTCACCTCTGGGTGAGGGCAGGCCTGGGGTGATGGTGGGAGAAAGCGAGTTGATTGTGGCACTTGGAGACTCACGGGGTAGGAGCAGCCCTGGGTTGATGGGGTGGGGAGAAGGGTGCTGATTGGGGCACTGTGGGCTCATGGGGTGGGAGCAGTGCTGGGCTGATGGGGCGGGGAGAAGGGGAGTTGATTGGGGCACTGGGAGACTCACGGGGTAGGAGCAGTGCTGGGCTGATGGGGGGGAGAAGGGGTGTTGAGTGGGGCACTGGGGGGCTCATGTGTAGGGCCCTATCAGATTCACGGACATGAGAAATGTGTCACAGACCGTGAAATCAGACCTCCACTGTGAAATCTAGCTAGGGGAGGGGCAGGGCTGGGGGCATCTAGCCAGGGGCTCCTAATGGGCCCCGGCTCCAGCTGTAGTCCCATCCTGGCTGGGGAAGGATGGGACTTACTCTTCCCCTGCATAGCCGCTCAGGGGGGGTTGTTCAGACCCATCTCCAGGTACCTACCCCAGCTGCGGTCCCTTTTCATGGAGTCTGGATTCCTTTGCTCCCCCATCCCCAGGGCACGGGTTGTGGGGCAGCCGGGGCAGGGGCACATGGACCAATGGGGGATGGGGGAGCTTTAGCTCCTCCCTTGGCCAGGTCTGTTCAGGGGAGGGGAAGGTGGTGGGGCAGCCCTGTGGCGTGCGGGGGGCTAAAGGACCCTTTGCCCGCTGACGTGTCTCGTGCCCTCCCCAGGAGAGCTGTACATCGGGGGGCTGAGCAAGAACATGTTCAACAACCTGCCCAAGCTGGTGGCCTCGCGGGACGGCTTCCAAGGCTGCCTGGCCTCCGTGGACCTCAACGGCCGCCTGCCCGACCTCATCGCTGACGCCCTGCACCGGATCGGGCAAGTCGAGAGGGGCTGCGATGGTAAGAGTCCCCCTGCTGCCCAGATCCCACCTTCCTCTGGCCCAGCCTTGCCCAGCAGGGGGCACTGTGGGGAGCAGGCAGGAGCGCTGACTGGGCGGTGGGGAGGAGCTCCCTCCTCCAGCCCGGCCTCGCCCAGCAGGGGATGCTGTGGGGAGCAGGCAGGAGCACTGACTCAGGGGGGAGCTCCCTCCTCTGGCCTGGCCTCGGAGGGGGCGCTGTAGGATCAGACTATCCAGCCTACAGACTAGTCTAGTTCCTAGTGCCCCCGTCTCCTCTCCTGCTGATAATGGGGATTGTGCCTCGGAAACCAGCCTGCTTCCAGCGCAGCCCATTCCCCCTGTGGGGGACGCTTGCCCCATGATGGGGGGCTGTGGGGAGGACCAGAGAGATGCAGATACCTTCATTAGCTGCCAGCTCCCAGCCATGAGCGTTATGTCTCCTCAGATGCTGCCTTGCGTCAGCAGTGGGATATGGGTGGAGGCTGCCAGGGACTCCCCCCTTCTTCCCTATTGGCTCCAGCTCCTCACCTGCCATTCCTGCCTCCTTCCCCCACCCTGGTGTACTATTCCTGAGCACCTGGATGCTACCCAGCTCTGGGAGGGGAATGGGGTCTGCAGGTTAGAACGTGGAGGGTGCAGGGGGGTCTATCCCCAGCTCTGCCCCTGACTCGTTGCAGGTCCCCTCCTCTCTCTCACCTGCTTTTTTCCACTCTGCTCATGGGGGTTATGACCCCAAGCCCTGTCCCAAAGGGCTGGGGGAGCCAGGCCAGTAACCCCCATCCCTGCCTCTTGCCCCCAGGGCCCAGCACCACGTGCACCGAGGACTCTTGCGCCAACCAGGGCGTCTGCCTGCAGCAGTGGGACGGCTACACGTGTGACTGCACCATGACCTCGTATGGTGGCCCCGTGTGCAACGACCGTGAGTGCTGGGGCCCAGCACGCCTGGCTGGGGAATGGGGAAGGATCCCGCAGGGGGAGCTGCATGCCGGGATGGGGGATAGAAGGAGGGGGAAGGATCGCGCTGGGGGGCCGCAAGCTGGGGGACTGCAGGAAGAAGGGTGGGGTACTCACGCTGTGATTCTGCGAGTCTGGAGCACCGGGGGGAGCGTGCTAGGACTGGGGTGCCATGTGCCCAACTAGGGGATGGACAGGAGGAGGATGATCATACGGGGGGTGACGTGAGCTGGGAGCATCAGGAGGCCAGAGGAGCACTCACATGGGGCACTGGCTTTTGCCTGGCTGGGGACTGTGGTTTGACTGGTCTCTGGGACACCCCTGAACTGATGAAATTTGGGGGGGCCCTGGGCTGGGTCTGTGGGCCTGGGTCATGGGCCCACATTGAGCCCAATGGCTGGGTCCAGAAACTGGAAGGATACCAGGGGGTGGATCTGTGTGCCAGGGCTTCTGCACAGGTTGTGTCAGAGCTGTGGGCCATGTTAGTGCCAGGGGCTGGTTGGCACTGTAGTACAGGTGGGCACTATGGGCTCTGCCCATGAGGCTGGGTCCTTGGTCTGGTTCAGCTCTGTGGGGTGGGTCCATGGGGCTGGATCTGTGGGTTAGTTAAACCCTGTGGGGTGGATCAGTTGGGGTGGGTCCATGGGACTGGAGCTGTGGTCTGGTTCAGTTCTGTGGGGTGGGTCTCTGCAGTGGAGTCTGTGGGCTGATGCAGGTCTGTGGAGCTGGATCCGAGTGCTGGTTTGGCTCTGTGGGGTGAGTCTGTAGGGCAGGGTCCATGGTCTGGTTCAGTTCTGTGGGGTGGGTCTCTGCAGTGGAGTCTGTGGGCTGATGCAGGTCTGTGGGGCTGGACCTGAGCGCTGGTTTGGCTCTGTGGGGTGAGTCTGTGGGGCAGGGTCCATGGTCTGGTTCAGTTCTGTGGGGTGGGTCTCTGGAGCAGAGTCTGTGTTGATGCAGGTCTGTGGGGCTGGATCCGAGTGCTGGCTCTGGATCTACAGGTCTGTCGCATCTTACGCGCATTTAACATGCGTGATTTCAACTTTATGCGGTCGGCAAAAACAAAAAAAAAGAGAAAAATAACAATTTTAATACTATACCTGTAGTGCGGGCGATTTTGCCCGCCATTGAACTCAGTGGGATTTTGGCTATACGCGGTTTTCGCTTTACGCGCTAACCGCGGAACGGAACCCCCGCGTAAGATGAGACAGACCTGTATATGTTGGCTCAGGGCTGTGGGGCAGCTCCATGGATTGTGTGAGTTGGACAGTGAATTGAGTCCACACCTCGGAGATGCCTCCTGTGACGGCTTCTCAGCATTGCCCAGCAGCTGGGCCCAGGGGACTGATCCATTCCCCACAGCCACCCCTCCGAAGCAGATCCTGGCATGGGGACTGGGGCTGGGATCCAGGCTATGGGGAGGGACACCCAGCTGGGTGGGTGGTGGCGAGAGCTCTGTCCACTGGTAATGGGGGTGGAGCACGTGTGAGTGATTCTCATTGGCACTGCATAGTGGGCATTGGAGTGTGGAGTGTCCTAGCTGTGCTCTTGGCCCAAGCCCATCACCAGGGCATCTGACGAGCCCCCAGGAATTTCTGTCCTCTGCAGTATCCTCTCCCTCTGGAATTTCATCCTCCCCCCACGCCCTCTGCCCTGGGCATTGTGCATCTGTGTGAGAGGGGAAATACATTCCGGGAGTGTAAAGGGCAGCCATGGGGAGTTGGTCACGGGTATGAGGGCAGGGGCTGGGGACAAAAACAAAGCCTGGGTTAAGGAATAGAATCTAGTGTGAATCATGCAAGGAATGAATTGCATGTCCCTGCTGCCTGAGCCCTAAGGGGTGTGTGTTCTGCCCCCTGCTGGAGTGGGGGAGCCCTGCTCTGCATGTGCACTGCCCCCAGCTGGAGAGAATGAGCCCTGAGGGGTGTGGGTGTGGCAGTGTGTTCTGCCCCCAGCTGGAGGGGGTGACCCCTGCTCTGTGTATTTGCTGGTTTGATTTTGACTCACTCCCATGGCATCACATGCTGTGGGCTGGGGTGTCTCGGGGTTAGTGCTATGTATTCTGAGCACTGTTTTGGGGGTAGAGATGCCATTGTTTTAAATGATTGACAGCTTTGGAGGATGATTAAACAACTAAATCCAGTCACCTGTGGCTTTTGTGAGTGGCTGCCTCCGAGCTGGGAGCTGCAGTGGGTGGGACAGCACCAGAGGGGGGTTGTGTGTGAGTGTATCTTGTGCTAGATCCTCATTGCTAATGGCAGTAAATAAAAAGATTCTTTTTTGGGATGCAGCGATCTTGGGGAACCCCAAGGAGGTGAAACTGGCAAAAGCCAGCTAGAATGCTTCACTTTTTGTGCGAGGATGTGAAAGTCTGAGTGTGAAAAATGTCTAGAAAGTGACCGGGCCCCTTCACAGGGTGTGTGCAATGGGTGCTGCAGAATGTGAAAGGGGCTTAAACGGGACAGAAAGGCAACCAGCTTGCTCTCTCTTTGCAAGCATGTGGAAAGTGGGGTGGGTGTGATTAGAAAAGGGAGAGGTGCCTACCACTGTTTGGGTGTGACTATCCAGACGGGAGAGGGATTTGAAAGAAAAGTAAAAGTGATCAGCTGTCTCCGTTTGTGCAAGCATGTGACCACTGGAGTGTGAACATGCCAAGAACATGTAAGTGCCCTGGCACGTTTCACTGGTGGGGGGGGGTCATGGAACCCAGAACAGGATGTGAACAGTAGCAGTCGTGAGCGTGACCAGGCCTCGCACTGCGTGTGCGAGCACGTGAAAACCGAGGACTGTAAAGAGAAAGCAAGGAGGTGGTTTGCTAGTGTGAGCATGCAAAGGGCAGAGACCAGCAGGGTGAGGTGTGCAGGGGCCAGGTGGGGGGGTCTTCCCCCCCTCCCCCCCGCTGCAGGGGGCTGTTAGTTAGCCCGGTGCAGGAGCTGCATTTTGCCAATGTGGTTTTCATCTTGACAATCTCTCCAGCAGGTGGCTGGGTGGGTGGGGGACACGAGGAGTTGTAATCATCCCATGGTGTTTGCTCACTAGTCCTCCTGGGTCTCGTGGTTGGGGGGCAGGGCTAGGAGGCGGGACTCCTGGGTTCTATCCCATCTCTGGGAAGGGAGAGGTGTCTAATGGTTAGAGCAGGGGGCTAGGAGCAAGGACTCCTGGTTCTATTCCTCGCTCTGCCATAAACTGTCACTATGACCTTGGCTTCAGTCACTTTAATCTCCCTGTACTTCAGGTTTCTCCATCTGTAAAATGGGGAGATGATATTGACCCCCTAGACAGGGAATGAAAGAGGGGAGCAGAGGAAAGAATGAATGGATGGAGGGGATGGGGGTGAATAGAGGAGGAGTATGAAGGGGTGGGTGGGTGGATGGAGGGGTGTGGGGTGGATAGAGTATGAGTATAAGGGAGTGAGTGAGTGAGTGGGGGTGGATAGAAGGGTAGTACAGGGTGTGGATGTGGGGGTGGATAGAGGAAGAGTATGAAGGAGTGGGTGGGTGAGAGTGAATATGGGAAAGTATGGGGTGTGGATGGTGGGGGTGGATAGAGGAGTAGGATAGAGGAGTGGTGAAGGGAGGGTGGTTAGAGGAGTAGGACGGAGGTGATGGTGGAGGGGGGTGGGGTGGATAGAGGGGGAGTATGAAGGACTGGGGAGTGGAGAGGGGGCAGTATGGGGCATGGATGGACGGGGTGGGGGTAGATGGAGGAATAGAATGGAGGAGTGGTGGAGGGAGTGTTTGGGATGGATGGAGGGGTTCATGGGGCACGCTGCAGAACTGAGTCCTGGATCTGAACCCCTGATGTCTCTATCCCAGTGCTACTAGGGGCCATTTCTCATCCCCGCACCTATTTTTCCTCCCTTCGCCCACTCTGTGCTGCCAACCCCCACCTGGGGGCCCCAGCGAGGGCTGGAGTTTCCACCCTGCACTGTGATGGATGGGGGCGGCAGGCCTGACGTGACAGCCTCGCTAGTGCTGGGCACGGGGCACGAGGGGACAGGCTCCGTCCGTGCTGCCAGCTGGATTAATGGGTCTACAGCGCAGGAGCTGCCCTGGGCATCGCTCACACATCGCAGGAGCTGAAGGCTCATTTATCCCCCTCTCCTCCCTCCCCAAACTCCCCTATTGTTAAATAGTCATTGTCTGGGCTTTGCTTTGGGGACGTTTCATCTCTGCACTGACAGCCTCCAACGCCGCCTGCTGGGAGAGGCTGGGGCTGGAGAAGCTGGGAGCTCCCCGCCAGCCAGCGCTCCGCCCCACTCCCTATGGCACCCCGTGCTAGGAGAGGCTGGGGCTGCAGCATCTGGGAGCTTGCCCCACACTCCGCACTCAATAGGAGGTGCTCTCCCTTTGCAGTCAGCGCTGACCCCAGTTCCCCAGAACGGCACTAAGGGCTGCTGCACTGTTGAAGTTTCCAACTTTGACTGGCTGTAAAAACAACCTGCCCACTTTTGTTCATTAACGATCCATGGAGTAATTAAACTCTCTGCCCCTTCCCAGAGGTGGCTGCATCTAGTGCCAGGTGAGGGATTCCTGTATAAACAGCCCCCCATACCCCTCCCCAGAGGTGGGTGCATCTCTGCACTGGGCGAGGGATCCCTGGCTTATAAGAACCTTTGAGATGCTGTAGGGCAGTTAATGGCTTGTTGGTTGTTTCAGGCACCTTTGTGACCCTGGGGCTGTGTGTTTGAGGGTTAGGTACTTTGCCCCAATCTCCATCTCACCTTCTCCTCTCCCTGGGCTCTGATCTCCTAGGCCGAAAGAGAAGCTCTGCCCCCTACCTCGAACTGGCAGGCACTGATGGAGCTGCGTGTGTATTGGGGCTGACAGCCCCATCCATTTCCATGAGCCACTGACTGCCTATGATACCCAAGGATTTGTTAAGGAGTCTCTTCACTGGAGCCAGGCCAGCTTTGCTCTCTGTTCCCTGCACCGAAGGGGTGTCACAGATTCATTTGCTCCCTCCCTT